TTTACATTTCTATTAGCAATGCACAAGGAGTCTAATTTCTCCAAATCTCTATCAACATTTATTTTCTAGCTTAAAAAAATTATAGGCATCCTAGTTTGACATGGCATACCACTGTGGTTTTGATTTGCATTTTTCTAGTGACTAATGATGTTGGATTTCTTTTCAGGTGCTTCTTGGCTATTCATATACCTTCCTTGGAGAAATGTCTACTCAAGTCCTTTGCCCAGTTTTAACAGGGTTTTTGCTGTTATTGTTGACTTGCAGGAGATGTTTATATATTATAGATATCACTTCCTTATCAGATGTATGATTTGCAAATATTTTATCCTATTCTATAGGTTTTCATTTTCTTGATAGTATCCTTTTATGCATGAAAGTTCTCAATTTTGATGAAGTCAAATTTATTTATTTTTTTCTTTTGTTGTCTGTGCATTTGGTGTCACAGCCACTAAATTTTGCCAAATTCAATGTCATGAATATTTTCTCCTCCAGTTTTTTTCTTCTTCTAAGAATCTTACAAGTTAGCTTTTAAGTTTAGGTATTTGACTATTTTAAGTCAATATTTGTGTATGGTGTAAGATAAGGGTCTAAGTTCATTCTTTAATGTGTAGAGATCAAGTTTTTCTAATACCATTTGTTGAAAAGACTGTCCTTTCACCATTGAATGGTCTTAGTACATGTGTCAAGAAAAATTGACCATGTATCTTAGAGTTTATCTCTAGGCTCTCCATTCTATTCCATTGGTCTACGTGTCTGTCCTCATGCAAGTACTATTACTCTAACTTCATAGTAAGTTCCACCGTTGGGAAGTGTGAATCCTCCAACTGTATTTTTCTTTTTCAGGATAATTTTGGCTATTTGGGACCCCTTGCAATTCCATATAAATTTGAGGATTATTTTTCCATTTTTAGGAATTAGATTGTTGAAAATTCTGATAAGAGATTGCATTGAACCCGGAGATTGCTTTGGTAAACATTGATACCTTAACAATGTTAAGTCTTTCTATCCAAGAGCCTGGATGTCTTTTTATTTATTTAAGTATTCTTTAGTTTCTTTCAGCAGTGTTTTTTCTTTCAGTAGTTTTCAGTGTAGAAGTCTTTCACCTCCAGGGTTAGATTTATTCCTATGTATTTCTTTTAGATGCTATTGTAAATGAAATTGCTTCATTAGTTTCATTTTTGCATTGTTCATTGCAGGCATATAGAAACAACACTTTTTTATAGTAATGTAGTGCTCTGCAACTTAGTTAAATTTATTTATTAGCTCTATATCTTTCATGTGGATTCTTCAGGATTTTCTAAATATAGGGTCATATCATCTGCAAATAGAGATAGCTTTACCTCTTCCTTTCCAATTTGGATGGTTTTTACTTCTTTTTGTCTAGTAGCTCTGGCAAGAACTTCCAAATACAGCATTGAAGTGCAGTGGTCAAAGAGGATATCCTTATTTTTTTTCTGATCTTAGGGGAGAAGCTTTCAGTCTTTCACCATTGAATGTGATAACCATGGGTTTTTCATAATTATCCTTTATCATATTGAGGAATTTCCTCTCTATTTTTAGTTTTCTGAGAGTTTTATTAAAAAAGGATGTTGGATTTTGTAAAATGCCTTTCTGCATCAATTGAGATGATCATGTGGTTTTCTTCCTTGGTTTTATTAATGTGATGTATTACATTAGTTGATTTTCTTATGTTGAACCACTCTTCCATTCCTGGGATAAATCTTACTTGGTCATAGTAAATAATACTTGCTAATATGCTGTTGGATTTAATTTGTTAATATTATGTCAAGGATTTTTTTCATCTATAGTCATAAGGGACATTGGCCTGTAATTTTCTCTTCTTGTGATGTTTTTATCTGGGTTTGGTATCAGGGTAATGCTGGCCTTGTATAAGGAGTTAAAAAGTGTTTCCTCCTCTTCACTTTTTTGGAAGAATTTGAGAAAGACTAGTGTTAATTCTTTTTAAATGTTTGATTGATTCATCAGTAAAGCCATCTGGTCCAGGACTTCACTTTTTTTGGGAGGTTTTTGATTACTGTTTCAATGTCTTTATTTGTAATAGTTTTATTAATATTTTCAATTTCTTTTTTAGTCAATTTAAATAATTTGTGTTTCAAGGAATTTATTAACATCTTCTAGGTTCTCTAACTTGTTTGCTTACAACTGTTCATAGTACTCACATAGTCCCTTTCATTTCTGTAAAGTCAGTAGTAATGTTTCCACTTTCATTTTCAATTTTAGTTATTTGCATTTTCTCTTTTTTTCTTTGTAAGTCCAGCTAAAGGTTTGTAAATTTTGTTCATCTTTGCAAAAGACCAACTTTTGGTTGCATGGATTTTCTCTATTCTCTGTTTTGTTTATTTCTGCTCTAATTCTTACTATTTCCTTCCTCCTACTAGTTTTGGGTTTCGTTTGCTCTTCTACTTCAAGTTTCTTATGGTATAAAGTCAGGTTATTGTTTTTAGATCTTCTTTTTTAATGTAGACATTCACAGCTATAAATTTCTCTTTAGCACTGCTTTTACTGCATCCCATAAGTTTTGTTGTGTTTTTGTCTCTAGGTATTTTATAATTTCTTTTGTGCTGCTTTTGCCTGTGACTCATTGGTCGTTTGAGTGTTTTGTTTAATTTTAACATATTTGTGAATTTTCCAGTTTTACTTCTGTTACTGATTTCTGTTGTAGTCAGAGAAGATACTTTGTGTGACATGTATTTTTAAAATAGATTAAGACCTATTTTGTGGCCTAACATATGGTCTGTCTAAGAGAATGTCCTACATGTGCTTGAGATGAATGTTTATGCTGATGTTGTTGGGTAGTGTGTTCTTTATATGTGTAGACGTAATTACTGTGTTGTTCATGTCCTCTATTTATTTATTTTGTTTGTTCTATTATTAAAAGTGGGTGAATGAAGTTTGCTACTATTGTTGTAGAACTATATCTCTCTTCAAGTCTTTCAAGTTTTGCTTCATAAATTTTGAGGGTCTATTATTAGGTGTATAAATGTTTATAATTATTATATCTTCATGCTATATCGACTTTTCTTATAATATAATGTTTCTGTTTGTCCTTGGAAACTTTTTTTGATTTAAAGTCTATTTTGTCTGATATTAGTGCAACTACCCCAGCTCTTTTGGTTACTATTTGCATTGAATCATCTTTTTCTATTCTTTCACTTTTGATCTATTTGTATCTTTGAATCTCAAGTGAGTCTTTCATAGACAGCATATAGTTAGATTCTAGAATTTGGTGTCTTTTTTTTTTTTTTTTTTTTTTTTTGTCAATCTGTCTTTTCCTTGAGCACTTTATTTACATTTAAAGTAATTACTGATAAAGAGGGATTTCTATTTTGCTATTTGTTTTCTATATGCCTTACAGATTTTTTTGTACCTCGTTTCCTCTATTGCTGTCATCTTTTGTGTTTAGCTTACTTTTTGTAGTAAATGTTTTGATTCTCTGATGATTTCCACTTATGTATATTCTACAGATATTTTTGTGTTTACCATGAGAATTACATTTAACATCCTAATGTTATAACAATCTCATTTGAATTTATACCAACTTAACTTCAGTAGCATACAAAATCTCTGCTCCTATATTGCTTCACCCCTCCCTTTCTATTGATGCCACTAATTACATCTTTATACACTGTGTGCCCAATAATAGGCTAATCTTGTAAAAAGTTCTTTCTTAGCTGTCCTAAGAGGAACCAAGGGAGGAAGTGTTCACCCATGGACCAATGCTTTAAAAGATCAGCAGAGTGTTCCTTAGATCAGAGCAATGTCATAGTGGGCAAACCCTAAAGAATATGAATAATCAGAAGGATAAAATTTAGGCTATTTGGGCAACCACATTGTCTCACTTGAATATATTCCTTCTAGAACCGAACTCCTGATGTCTCTGGGTTTTGTTTTTACTAAAGACAATTCCCTCTTTCCTAGGGGATAGTCTCTATTATGGTCTATCTTCAGCTGTATGCAGACTGCAATTTGGGGTTAGCACACAGAAGGCAACATGCTCCTCATCCTTGGGAGTGTGTTCTTGCTGAGCACACTCAAAAGACATACAAAGATGAATCATAGGAGATCCCAGTTCCCTAGGGACTGTAAGTTTGTGCAGCTGCTCACAACTAATTTACCTTAAGGTAGAACATGTGGCTCTCTCTTACTGGTGCCTAGGACATTTTGCCTTGTCCCTCCAGAGCAGCATTTTATGTCATTCCTTTTTGCTTCTCTACTGCATCTGTGTCCAACTCATTTGCTGAATTAATGTATTGGATGGGACATTTGAAGATTATTTTAACCTAGCAAATACATATGCAAATATATGTTTATACTTTTGCAAACTTGATATGTATAAGTAGTTCCTAGACCAGTGATTTTCAGACCTTGCTACTCATCAGAATCACCTGAGGAAAATTCTCCAAACCCAGATTCCTACGTTCCAACCACAAAGATTACTTTAATGAGTATTAGGTGGAAGCCAGGAATCTACATTTTCAAAAGCTACCCAGGTAATTCTGATATGCAGTCAGCATAGAGAACCACAGCCCTCTGACTACCTAAGAAAATTTGGTAGTTAAAAAAAGCTATATAAACTGCCTTCTATTCTTTAAGGAGATTCTATGTTAGTATAGCATACAGTCAAGAACACTACCAATGCAGCCACTTCCTAGCTGTTATCTTTAGACAAATCACCTAGTTGTTCAGAGCTTCAGTTTATTGATGTGTAAAGCAGGAGCTACAGGTTTACCATAAGGATTTATGTAAAGCCTTAGTACAGTAGCTGTACTGTAGCACACAATAAATGCTGGCCAGACTTATTCTGCTGTACACGTGAGCCACTGGATTAGTCCGGATGCAGAAGCCTACTACAGTACACTTTCTTGAGCCAACTCTTGGGAAAGCGGGGGAGGTTTCCTGGCCCCACCGGAAGTGCAGGATACTAAAGCCAAATCACAGGGCGGGGACTGACTTTCGGCGCGCACCCGCTCGCGGGGCTCGGGTTGTTGCTCCGCGCGCTTCCACCAGGGACCGCTCGAGCTACCCAAGCTCCCTGCGTCTACCCGGCGGCGCCCCCGCGCGTGCTCACTAGGAGCAGCGCGCGCCCCGGAATCGCCGGAGCCGCCTCTGCCTTAGGCCTCCGCTCCCCAAGCGACTGCCCAAACTAGGCCTCGGTGGCTGGATACGAGAGCGCTCTGGGGACAAATATCCTCCCTCCACTGTGGTCTGCATTCCTCCGGCCCCTGAGCCACTCTGGGGCGGGAAGTGTTAGCGTCTCTGTTGCGCTGCAGCGCGGGAGGAAGGAGGAGGCCGATCCCGGGGCGGAGTTCGGGCGGACTCGGGCTAGACCGAGCGAGACGCCGGCGCTGCCCGGATGTTGCGATGGCTGATCGGGGGAGGCCGAGAACCGCAGGGACTGGCCGAGGTAAACCCCGGGCGGGCCTGCTCAGCGCCCGCGGAGGCCAAGTTTGTCTTGGGGCGGCTTCGTTTCTGTAAGGCCTTCCTGGGTTCCGACCGCGGGGACCCGGGCGGAGGCGGGGCTGGCTGCTGAGCTCGCGCAGTGTGGTGTCCTCGGGCCGGCGGGAGCCGAAGGCGGGCGCCCGGAGCACCCTGGAGCTGCAGACCCCCGGCCCAGTGCCACGGCTGGTCGAATCGTGAGACCCTGGCTCTGGGACGCTCAGCTGGTCAGCAGCCCTGTTGGGACCTGTGACAACTTACGGCTTCTGGCTATCGAGACCATCTTCATTTCCACTGAAAAAGTATTCGATTTAGCTAGAAACGAACGAGTATTGACCGCAGCTTTCCACTTTTCGTTTATTTGAATTGGTGCCTCTTCCTAGCATCAACTGATACTTGCTCAGAGAATTTAAAAGTAATTCACTTATCCAAGAACCGAAAAAGGTTATAATTATTTTTAAAAAGTAATGATTTGCTTCAAGGTCAAGAACACGATTTTCTAATGAACTGCTAGTCACACTTTCTTCCTGGGCCCGAATAATTGAATACACCGTGTGTAATGAGATTTTACATTTGAAATGTGAATAAAATAATTTTTCCAATCTTGAAAATGTTGAGGTCTGGAATTTATTTCCTGTGCCACATAGGAACAGAATTTGTGAATTCCATTTTATTTCTCATAAGTATTTGTTTTGATTGTTAAAAGTAAGAAATTGGATTGTTGAGAGTAGTCAGTCTTCTCAGTTTTAACTTCCTCATGTCTTTGCAGTTGAGGGTATTGTCAGTTTTTAAAGTTTCTTAGATCAATCCTAAATCCTTGAGATTGTGGAAGAATTATGGGTTACTGAATAGCCATATATGGTATATATGACAATTTGGATAATCTGTTTTAACCTGGTTCTTTGGTTAGTCATGTAATTTGATTAACCAGTTCTCCCATTCCTGGCAAGTTTTCATTGGAAGGGAAGCAGTTTATACAGTTTTCAAATTTCTCACTAGAACCTCTGCTAGAAGGAAGGCAGAATAATACAATATTACTGCTTCGTGATGGATTTTTTTGGTAAAACATTTGTACATATTTTAAATTTATATATTTTTTTATATAAAGACACTTCAGTTGTATAACTGCTGTGAACTTGTACATTATTAGAACCTGTGATTTTCCCTAATTTATGCAAGAACTTTGTATGCAGGCTTCTCCTTTAAGCAGTGGTTCTCTAATGGGGTGATTTTGTCCCGCAGGAGACACTTGGCAGTGTCTGGAGACGTTTTTGATTGTCATACCTTGCAGAGGGTCAGTTGTATTGGCATCTAATGTGTATAGACCAGGGATGCTGCTAAATATTTTACAATGCACAGGACAGCCCTCAACAACAAAGAGGCTGGACTCAACAACCTGGGCTGGACGTGGCTCACGCATATAGTCTCAGCACTTTGGGAGGCTGAGGTAGGCGGATAACTTGAGGTCAGGAGTTCAAGACCAGCCTGGCCAACATGACGAAACCCCGTCTCTACTAAAAATACAAAAATTAGCTGGGCATGGTGGCACAGTCCCAGCTACTCAGGAAGCTGGGGCAGGGAGAGGCAGAGATTGCAGTGAGCTGAGATAGTACCATTGCACTTCAGCCTGGGTGACAGGGCAAGACTCTGTCTTTAAAAAAAAAAAAAAAAAAAAAGAATCATCTGGCCCAAAATGTCAGCATCAAGTTTGAGAAATCCAGACTTGAGTTTATTGAATTCATTGAGTCTAAATGATTTCATGCCTTCCTTTATTCACTTAGCAAACATGTATTGAGTGCTTGTAATGGATGAGGCACTGTTTTAAGTATTTGATTTGCAGTTTTGTTTCTGCCACGTTTTAACTGAGAAACACGCATTCTAAAATGTTGAGTTGGATTGGACCATTAATTTTTTTTTTTTTTTTTTTTTTTTGAGACAGAGTGTCGCTCTTGTTACCCAGGCTGGAGTACAATGGCATGGTCTCGGCTCACCGCAACCTCCGCCTCCTGGGTTCAAGCAATTCTCCTGCCTCAGCCTCCTGAGTAGCTGGGACTACAGGCACGCACCACCATGCCCAGCTAATTTTTTGTATTTTTAGTAGAGACGGGGTTTCATTCCGTTGACCAGGATGGTCTCGATCTCTCGACCTCGTGATCCACCCGCCTTGGCCTCCCAAAGTGCTGGGATTACAGGCTTGAGCCACCGCGCCCGGCCTGGACCATTAATTTTTTAAAGTCGGGTTTAATAGGATACAATTTACATAAAATAAAATTAACCCTTTTTGTAAATTTATTGTGATTTGAAAATACTGAAATTTGTGATACGAATTTGTGGTAAGAGAATGTTCTTTTTTTTTTTTTTTAGAGGGGACCCCTTAACAGATCTAAAAATACAAAATAAAGCTTAAATATCCAAGAAACGGTCAATACAATGAACTCCTTTTATAAAGAGTTTATAAAAATGTAAAAGGAAGACTTACCAAGGAGAAGTGTTTTATGTGGAATTGGCAGTTGTTTAGTTGATATTAGAAGAAGTAATACTTAGTATTAGAACATGATATCTTAAGGCTTTTAAAATCTTGTGTTCTTAGATGTATACCATGCAGTTACAATCCAACATGGTCTTACAAATCATTTTATCTCTTTTTTTGTCTCTTGTTTTTTGCTTTTTTTTTTTCCTCCCTGTACAAGAAATCTCCTTTACAGACAATAGGTGAAGAACAAACCCAGAACCCCTACACTGAGTTGCTTGTACTGAAAGCTCACCATGATATTGTACGATTTCTGGTACAGTTAGATGGCTACAGGTAAGAAACTCTAGTGTCTAATTGACTGTTGTTTGGGAAGTTGACTATTTTAGGGAATTTTATGTTAAAAATAAACACCTTTAAAATTAATACATCTTTTCTAAAAATTTTGAAACTGCGATCATTAGTAATATTTAGTAGAAATTGAAATTGCCCTCTGCATCTTGATGAAATATGTATCTGGAGTCTTTTTTGCCCAAAGTCAGAGTGTCATGTCTAGTGATTTGAGGGTTATGTTTGTTTGTTTGCATTCTCAGAAATATTCTTGTTAGTTTAAAAGAAGTGTATGACTTTAAAATTTGAGTATATTGAGAGAACCTGAATCTGAGAAATATGATAAATGTTTAAGCATCAGGTACCTACCAGGAATGTTTTATTTTTAGTAGAAGATAAGGATTTAATCCAAAGTTTTTGTTATTGATGAAACCACTTTAAAATGTACATTATTCTGTACCTCCATGCTAACATCTGTAATAATTGTATTCAATATATTTGCAAATAGAGATGAAGGTATATAGGTTTTAGGACTGTAGACTATTATTGATCTGTATATCTGTATATTAAGCTCATATTCAGTTATATATTTATCCTTTATAGCATGTTTCACCATAACAATTACATACTTAATGGTGTAACTCAATATTTTCTTCCTCTCTAAAATGTAAGCTTCATGAGAATAAGACTATGTTTTTCTTACTCACTACGTATTTTTAGTACCTAGTACAGTGCCTTACATGTAGCAGATAATTCACAGATGGTGGCTGAGTGAATGAATGACTCCCCAGACTACTAAGCATCCACGTTGGATGCCATCCTAATTCCCCAACCTCATTTCTGTTGTGTTCCAGTTTTTCCACTTTCATCTCTACTTTTTTCTTTTGCTCTTGCTGTTTTTTTCCTTTCGTTTTTCACTCCATGGATGAGTGCTACTGGGATTATTCCTAACTCTGACTACCACATCTGCTGTATATTAACTTTGCTTTTTCTCTTTTTTTAAAAAATAAATTTTATTTTATTTTTTAATAGAGACAGGATCTCACTATATTGCCCAGGCTCATCACAAACTCCTGGGCTAAAGCTGTTTTCCCACCTCGGTCTCCCATAGTGTTTGCGATTACAGGCGTGAGCCACTGTACTCTGCCTTCTCTCTGCTTTTTAAATGTCGTGGGTATTTAATTGCTTTTACTAAATGCAGTACAGTTAGCTCTGATGCGACTTGGAGTTTAGTCAAATTCCGCAGGTGAAGGATCTATACAACACGCCTCACCAGAGACACTAGCTGCAAGCCCTGTGTGGGTTTGTAGGCTGCCTGCGTTTCCAACTGCTGGCTACAAATTCCCACTGTCCTCTCAGGTCTGATAATTCACTAGAAGGACTCACAGAACTGAGAAAAGCACTATATGTAGGATTTACAGTTTTGTTATAAAAGATACAATCAGGACCGGCCAAATGAAAGGATGTATATAGGGCGATGCGAGGTCCAGGGCATCCCACATGCAAAGCTTCCATGTCCTAAAGACTCCTTGCCCTCTTGGCACATCAATGCGTATCACCATTGAGTGAGCACACTTGAGGTTTGGGTATCCAAAGCTTTCATTAGTAGGCATGATGGTTTGAATCACTGGTCACATAATTGAAGTCAATCATGTGATTTCAATTGAAGCCCCCCCTCCACCCCCCGCCCAGCTGGTAGCACAAAGCCCAAACCTTTAAATCACGTGGTTCATTTTTCCAGCTTGGCCAGCCCCTTTCCTGATGTTACCTCAGGGCCCACTGTGAGTTGTTCCGTTAGCATAAACTCAGGTGTGGTCCAAGGGATCCACCATGAATAATGAAGACATTTAACCACTTGGAAAATCCCAAGGGTTTAGAGACTCTCTTCTAGGAACCAGAGACAAAGCCCAGCAAAATTATTACACAATACTGTGCTGCTTAACTTTTTCTTTTTTTTTTTTTTTGAGACGGAGTTTCGCTCTTGTTACCCAGGCTGGAGTGCAATGGCGCGATCTCGGCTCACCGCAACCTCCGCCTCCTGGGTTCAGGCAATTCTCCTGCCTCAGCCTCCTGAGTAGCTGGGATTACAGGCACGCACCACCATGCCCAGCTATTTTTTTTGTATTTTTAGTAGAGACGGGGTTTCACCATGTTGACCAAGATGGTCTCGATCTCTTGACCTTGTGATCTACCCGCCTCGGCCTCCCAAAGTGCTGGGATTACAGGCTTGAGCCACCGCGCCCGGCCTTAACTTTTTCTTGAAAAGATTTGTCTCATATATATTATTGGCCTGTCAGCCCTGTTTTCCTGTTGTGATGCAAGTCAACCAAATGATGACATGTTAAACAGTTAATCATCTGCAGCCTCTTTTGGTAATTTGTTGCTATGTCTTGAGAGACACTCTATTTAAGTGGTCATTTTTGTGGGGAACTAATTATTTCTGGAAAGGTAGGATTTTGGAGAGCTAAAATTTTCTTGTGCTATATTTTACCCTAGTAAGTTGCTAGATTAAAGAGAATGTGATCATTTTTTATAATCACTAACCTTTGCGTGTTAAGGAATCCTAAAGTTACTTTGTCTAGTAAAGCTAAATAGAAATACACGGTATGTGATCAGGTTGTGGACTTTAAATGTTTATGTAAATTGTTAAGAGTCCATGTTCAATTTTACCTTTTCTCTGTAAAAGATCCTCTTGGCTATTCTTATCCCATAGGAATAGTTAGAAGACGACTCTGTAGAAGAGGCCAGCCTATAGAATAATGGTTAGTGTACAAATGCTGACACAGTGGTGCTCACATATACTTCAGTTGTTTAACGATAAATATTCTGTAAAGAGTAAAAAGCCGTACGTGAGTATGTCAGTTATCTTGCTCTATCAGCTATCACACCCAACTTAGTGGCTTAACACAACCCCATCTATTTAGCTCATTATTCTGCCGGATGGCAATATAGACTAGGCTCAGCTGGGTGAGTCGTTCTTTGCACTAGGAGCAGCTGATCTTGGCTAAATTTACCTATGCCTCTGTCAGCTGTTAAGATTGGTGGGGACTGGCTGCTTCACGAAGGCCTTAGCTGAAATGACTGTGGTCCTCCTCCACGTGGTTTCTCAGGTGTTTGTTTGAGTAATGATTGTGGAGTTCTAATAGCAGCAGCAGGACAAGCCCCAAAGTAAGACGTTTTTCAAATCTCAACTTGCATCATGTTTGCTGCTGTTCTATCAGCCAAAGCAAGTTAGGAGCTGGTACAAATTCAGTGAGTTGGTAAAGAAACTTGACCTCTTAGTTACCTCTTAGTAGAAGTAACTAAGTCTTATTGCTAATGGTGGTGGGACTGTTGGAAGAGGGAATAATTTGTGGCCAGTTTGCAGTCTATCACAGTGAATCTAAGATAGATGAAAAAGCTTTTGGCTTTTGTACTTCAGTGATGATACGACTTCATGATTCACATTTAATTCTTTGAAAAGTCATTTTCAAAATTTCCGTATAAATCAAGTATGAAGTTTTTCAGTCATTTGCTGACCTGTACAACTTGCAGTCTGTGTGTTGTTTTTAAAAATTTAATTCTATAATGTACTAAAAAAAATAAAAGAGTCATTCTTGGTAAGAAGGACACAGGAAAATTTACAAAATATAATCATGAACAGAATTAAGAACTGAACATTTTTACTCTTAATAGTTTAGAATTATCATTACCATTGCATATGTACATTATACATTGTCAGAGAAATACCTTTCCAGTTTTAAAATTTTACATCATTATATGTTTTTTGTTTATTTAGTTTTTGAAGACATTACACCCTGGGTTTTTTTGGTCAGCTGTTATAATCCAGGTTTCACGCTTCAAGTCTTTAGATAATATCATCTTATTGAAAATTTTGCAGAAGGATTTTCTTGTTTTCTCGGTGGCTCAGTTAAAATCAGTGAGTGGAAAATTTTCTCAGATTGGTTTTTGAAGATACCCAATAAATCCTGTATAACCTAACAGACAGCTGCCTTTTCTTTTCTTCTTTAGTATTTTTTGAACATGAAGTAAGGGTCATATTGATTGGGAGATCACTAAGAAGGCTAAGCCTCAGCAAGAGTCTTCCAAAAAATGGACTGTGCTAAAATTGCATGTAATACTCCAGCATTGGACACATTAAACTAAACTGGGTTCATAACACATTTTAAGAAGAGTTTTCTCTGTTGCTCATTTTACCATTCCTTGCTCCTTCAGGAAACAGACAAGGTTATGTAGGATGGTGATCACGACTGGAAAAGAATCAGATGACCCATGAAGTGCCAGACTGGAGAACAAAATGTGCCTCTAGGATGGTTGGTGAAGCTGCACATTCACGAGAAAGTAAATAAACTCAGTATAGCTTGATAGTCTACTACAAATGAAAAATATGCCCATTTTTAAGGACATACTCAAGCTAAACATATTCTTTCTTATACACTAATCTTCATTAATTTAGACCCTTCTAGTATCTGGGTTTTCTGGGAAGCAGATAGTATAGTTTAGATCCTTCTAGTATCTGGGTTCCCTGGGAAGGAGACACTAAAATGGGGTTAAGTGTGTAATAGGTTTATTAGAGAGAAAGCCAATGAAAGAAGAGAGGAAGCAGAATTGGACAAAGGGAGCTATCTTAGACTCTGATGCAGATGTGGCAAAGTCTCTCCCAGTCCAGTGGGGACCACTGGAGGAAAGGTTACTTTTTAGAGTTCTCTGCTGGATTTCAATAACTAGGGCTTTGTACTACTGCCTTGCTTAGTTATTTGCTGAGGGTCCTCCACTAAGAACATGCACCTGGCTTCTACCATCTTGCTTAAATCCCAGTGACTACGAGCCAACTGAGCTAACATAACTTTGGCTTAAAATTGGAAATGGATGCTGAAGTCAAAAGCTGGAGGCAGTCAAATAACTATATTCCTGACAGGAAAAACAGCTGGGCAGTGAGTCCTCTCTTGAAAGGGGGTCTGGAAGGTAGGTGTTGGTGTCTGCCACACTTCCATAGTTGTAAGTTG